CTGTGGAGGGCAGTGTCACTGGCCCTCATATGTGGGATCCGAACCAGGGCCCTCTGGCATCCCAAGCCAGTTCTTAACCATCGCGCCACTCGGCCGGCCTTTGTTAGGCATTTTAAACTTGATAAAAAGCCTGTAGCTGACATTTATTTTATCTGTTTTTTATTAGAGTTTATTTGAGCTAAACTGATGATATATGCTGGGGAGCAAGATCCCAAATGCTCCCCTGTAGCTGACATTTAGAAGATGCTTAGTTAAAGTAATGTTAACATATCCATAAGGAAGATTAGATTTGGATCTCCTAAATTTTGGATAGTTGAGAAGTACATCATTCTATTTGATCTGCTCAGATTTATAACCGGTTTTTCCTTTTCTCTCCTTACCCCTGTCTTTAATCTTGCAGCTCCTGGATCTCCCAGGTATCATTGAGGGTGCCAAGGATGGGAAAGGTAGAGGCCGTCAAGTCATTGCAGGTGAGTGGTCCAGGGATATCATCCCTTTACCAGGTATTGTTCGTTTAGATGGGGACTGTGGACTTGGAGATGATACCACAGTGAAGGGCATAGTTTTACCTGAATTCTTACCAGAATAGAATGTGAAAACTTGAAGGGACCTCGGAGAGTAATAGTCCAGATCCCCATTTGAGGAGAAATACTAAGGACAGGAGAAGTGAAGTGCTTTTGTCCCATGTTGCACTGTTCATGGCAGATTTAGAACTAGAACTCTTTTTTTTATTTAAAGTAAAATCTTATAAAAGGCTAATCATGAATTGTAACAATCTGCCACGCCTCCTCACCTCACCTTCACTGTTACTCCCCATTGGCAACTATACTGTCAACTCTTCAACTGTTCCTTCTGCTACTTACCTTCATATTTAAAAAAATAATAATAATATTTCTATTTAATAATTAATTTTAGATATCATCTATTCATTTATTGTGGTAGAGAATTAGCTCTTTTATACTCCATACCTGTTTTCCTATTCTTTCAAAGAAGTTACATCACAATTTTTAGTTAACTCATCAGTTGTGATTTACATGAGTGTGTAAAGACTGTAACTTTTGTTCAATGCTGAGGATAAGTAGTAATTTGTGACTTGATTTCTTTTTTTTTTTTTGAGGAACCAGTGTCTTTAATCAGCAATAGCAACTATTATATAGAGGGTTTGGGGGAGGAGAGTGCACGGAAGTGCACATGCTCCCTCCCACAGATGAAAGTCATGCTTATATAAAAGGCTTATGTAACCGGAGCCCTGCGCCTGCCCAGCAGGCTCCGGGGTCAAGGTTTGTATGTCCGGAGTTAGGGTCCGTACATCAGCCTGTACCCATCTGGACAGCCCGTGCCCCGGGCCGCCGCTTGTATGGGCTAGAACCTCGTCCGGGGTCAGGGTCCTTATGTCAGCCTGCACACATCTGGACAGCCCTTGGCGCCGCTTGTGCGGGCCAAAAACTGCCCGGGCCCTGTTAGTCTATCCTCTTCAGGGTGGTATGACTTGATTTCTTTTCTCTTGAAATCTGTTTTTGAAATTTGTTTTTCACGGAATTAATAATTGTCTATTGTTTTGTGTACTTTTCTGTGTTTGCTGATATTTTTTAAATGTTCCAGCAGATTAAATGCCTGTCAGTCAGCATTTTTCTAGATACTTAAATACAGTTCCAGAAATAATCTTATTGATTTCATTCACTCCCCGCAACCCTGATACTACCCTTTGTTCTTGTGGTTCAGTCTGTATTGGTTGCCTTCTAGACCAGCATGGTCCAGTAATGGAAATATTCTGCAGTAATAGAAATGATCTGAGGGCCGGCCGAGTGGCNTGTCCTATTGTTCTTCAGTCTAGTTGTGAAGAACATTGCTTCACTGGCCCATGTTGGTATTATCACTGCGCTCTTCCCAGGTGAGGCAGATTGGTCTCTGGCCACTGGCCGGCCGGCCGCTCATGGCGGCTATTGGCAGCTCACGCTAGCTGCTGGCCGCTCACGCTGGCTGCCAGCCACTCACGGTAGCTTATGGCAACCCACTGCAGCCTCACTGCAGCCTGTGCCGTTGTTGGCAACTCACGGCATCCCAGCTCCGGGTCCAGCTGTTTTTCACCATCTTAACTCTAGAGGGCACAGCATCATTGGCCTTCATGTGGGATCCTAACTGGGGCCCTGCTGCACAGAGCAGGCATCCCAAGTCAGCTCTTAACCAACGTGCCACTCAGCTGGCCCCATAAAATACACAATTTGATAAGTTTTGACATATGTATATACTAGTGAAAACATCAGCATGATCAAGATTGTGAAATATGCCCAAATGTTTCTTCATGCCCCTGCCCTTCTGTGCCTTCATCTTCATCTCCAAGAAATCACTTACCTACTTTTTGTCACTATAGATTAGTTTACATGTTAAGAGTTTTATATAAATAAGGCCATGTGTAAATATAAATGTACTTTCTTTTTTTGGGCTAGCTTCTTTCATTGAGCATAAATTGTTTTGCGCTTCTCTAATGTCATTCACCCTGCTGCCCCTAATGTTAACATCTTATATAACCATAGAATAATTATTAGGGATAGATTACCATTGGTGCACTAATATTCACTATAGACCTTATTTGAATTTTTACCAATTTACCCACCAGTGTCCCTTTTCTTTTCCAAGATTCTATCTGAGATCATCCCATGTTGCATTTAGTTATTTCTCCTTATTCTCCTGTCATCTGTAATAGTTCCTCCTTCATAACCTTTATACTCTTAAAGAGTATTAATCAGTTATTTTGTAGAATGTTCCTCAATTTGGGTTTGTCTGGTGTTGTCTCATGATTAGACTGAGATGTGTATTTTTTGCAAGAATACCCCACATAAATGATGTTGTGTCCTTCTCAGTGCATCTTGGGATTCACAATGTCAGTATGCCTTATTGGTGATGTTTATCTCCATCAGTTGGTTAAAGTGGTGTCTGCAGGTTTTCTCTACTGAAAAGATATTATCTTTCTTTTTGTGGTTAATAAATATCTTGGGGGAGATACTTTGAGAAGAGGCAAATCCTGTTTCTTAAATTTGCCCACTAATTTTAGCATCCATCTCTGGATCTTACCTGCAACAAATAATACTGTACTTCTTGCCTAATGGTGGGTCTCTATTTTTCTCTTTCCTACTATGCTTATTAATTGGAATTGTACTGTATGGAAGAGCAGTTCATTCTCCCCCACTTATGTATTCATTAATTTGTATCATTCTGGGCTCATGGATATTTTTATTTATTTATTTATTTATTTATTTATTTATTTATTAGTTTCAGGTGTACAAAACAATGTAATAGTTAGACATTGCATCCCTCACAAAGTGATAACCCCCCTCCCCCAATCTATTGCCCCTCTGACATTGTATATAACTTTTTCAATTCCATTGACTCTATTCCCTATGCTGTACTCCATATTTTGTGACTATATATATATATATATTAAATTATAGTTGACATACAATATTATTCAGCTTTAGGTGTACAGCACAGTGGTTAGGCAGGATATTTATTTGACGTTATGTGTTATAATCTAGTACTATCATTATTTTATTACTCAAATTGTTCCAGCTTTGACCATTAGGAATTCCTTCAGATTGGCTTCCGTGTGCTTTCCATAAGCTCCCGTCCATCTTTTTGAGAGTACTTCCTTATTATTTACAGGCACCACACGATGTTCCAGGCTAATCTTATATTTTCCCTACCCCAGCCCTGGAATCATCCACTTCTAAAGGAGCTCTAGTCCCTTTTTGGAGAATGGTGTTTAGAAATCAAGATCTGGTTTGCTTAGTACTCCCCATGTAGCCTTTTAAATCAATATAAAGTTTCCAAGTCAAGGTAGGTGTATTGAATATAAATTATCTTTTTTGAAAGAGAAAGGGAAAAGGTAGCTCATTTTGACTGGTATTTTGTGTCAGTCTTAAAGGAGGCAGTGTTATTTATTAGGTAGTAAGGAATGGGGAGGAACTTTTGAGTAGGCTCTTGAATGGAAAAATTGAACTGTCTAAGCACCTTCTGAATTAGCTCTTTTTCACTGTGGTTTATTGTGAAGTATATTTCTATAATGTCAGATATGCTGTTATAGCAAAGGTTAGTTGGTTTTAAACAATATTTTGATAAAGTGTAACTCTGTTCCCAGTCCATTCATGTGGATAGTTTGGATAGTTCAGTATTGACCACACAGTAGACCCTTGGTATTGTCAGATTTTATATGTTGTCTTAACTGTTTTTGACAGACTCTTTTAAGTGCTTAAAGCTAATAGTTTGTAATTTTGCTGAGATGTGAATTTGAATCATGTGTGCTATGGAGTTGAGTTAGATGTTCTTATCATTAGATACATACACTGTGACTTGTGTGAAGTTTTACTGCATTTCCTGGGCAATTGAAGCAGTCATTTTCAATTGGGGACACTTCAGAGTCACCCATGGAGCCTTTTGAAGTACAGATCAGTATCTGAACCCTACTTTGGCTCTTCCAAATCAGAATCTGCTCACATAACTGCGTTTCTAATGGTTTTACAGGTGATTTCTTTTTTTAAATTGGGGAATTGGGGGATGGGAACAGTGCTGGGGAATTGGGGGAAGGGGACCAGACAAGTTGGTGTTGTTTTGTTCTTCAGTCTAGTTGTGGAGGACATTGCTTCACTGGCCCAAATTGGTACCATCATTGCGCTCTTCCCAGCAGAGGCAGATCAGTCGCTGGCTTCTGGACGGCCGCTCACAGCGGCTGCTGGCCGCTCATGCTGGC